GCAACACCTTCCCCTCAAGGTTATTTTGAGCCCTTACCCTAATCTCTGGTAATGCAAACTGGTTACATGAGTTAATCGCTCTAGGTGCCCTAACGCACCTTAATCCGTTAGGTGGCAACTCTTCAAATACCTAATTCCCAAAAGGAAGCGAGTTATTTCCCCCATGAATGTCGAAACCCGGACTCCCCCGCGAAGGGGAGAAAAGGGGGCGCGACACGCACCTGCGAGGTTTTGGCCGCAGGTGCGGAGCCTCAAAACCGGCCAGGAGGACCGCAGAGGCGAGCCATCGAGGGCAGCCCAGTGAGCGTAGAAGCGGATGTTTGGGCGCACCTGCGGGAGCGCAGGTGCAAAGACAGTGGCCGTAGAAGCGGCGAAGGGCGCAGGTTCAAAGAAGAAGCCGCAGAAGCGGATGCGCGGAAGCGGCCAAGTAGTCCGCAGGTGCGGAAGGTCGCTAGGCGGAAGGGTTTTAATAAAACGGGACTTGACCCATTTTTCACTTGGTTGGGGCGATTTTGGAGAGCTTCAAAGGGTGATCTTCATCAAGCAGCACAAGGTAAGTGATTCCCACTTATTATAAGTTAAATAAATGGTTTGTATAAGGATTTAAACATGGAAATTAGTAAAAATTGTGGGGTTTTGGTAGAAAACCTAGAATTTGGTATTTTTGGATTTGGACCACGAATAAGGACATGGAATTGAGAGTAAATTATATATTTGAGTTCGTGAGGTTATGGGTAAAGTTTATCTTCGAAAATTTTCGGAATCCGGGCACGTGGGCCCGAGGGTGATTTTATCAACTTTTCGAGCGGAGTTGGAAATTTGTTTAAACCGAATTGTTGTGAGTATTAGAGTATATATTTATGGAATCTCTTGTTTATTGACTAGTTTTGGAGCATTAGGCATCGGCTTGGGTTGTTGGAAAGGCTTGGGAGCCAGCCATGGAACTTCGGAGCGAGGTAAGTCTCCTTTCTAACCTTGTAAGAGCGAATTAACCCCATAGGTAAAATAATTCAATATGTGCTTCTATTTGTGGGGGATACGTACGCACGAGGTGACGAGAGTTCGTGCGCAGCTATTATTATGCTTAAGTCCGGGTAGTCTAGGACCCAAATCATGCTATACTTGTGATGTTTGCAACCTTCTTGTTAATTTGATTTCTTAATTCACATTGAACTTGGTAAAGGAATTTTTAAAGGTTAAACTTCGTTTTCTTGATCGTTGAGAATTTGCATTTCCTTGAATAATTGCACTTAAATAAATTTTTGATTTGGTTGTTTGAATGTGTTTATCTTTTTTTTGTGGAGCGGGCCGAACGCCTCGGTAGATTTAATAGATGCATCTATGGTTCATGCCGTTCGACCCTCGGCAATGCACAATTTATATTTATATGTTGGATAGGGCCGTAAGACCTCGGCATGATTTGCGCATGATTGAATTGATTACTTTGAAATTTACAATAAATGATATTGCCTCAATGGCCCGAGATAAATTGTTAAATGATGAGAAACAAATTTGGATATTTCATAGTTATAAAAGAATTGCTTACTACTTCACGATATTGAGCTTACAACCATCCTATATGATCCATGTTTAAATTATATCATCGACATTTTATTTATAGCCAATAGTAAGTGTCGGAATCGACCCCTCGTCACTACTCGACCGAGGTTAGACCGAATACTTACTGGGTACGCGTCTTTTTCGTACTCATACTACACTTGCTGTAAATTTGTTGTACAGGCACATATACATTTCGTGGCCTTGTGGACGCAGCGGCGTGGTTGACACATGGACTTAGGTAAGATGCATCTCATGTTGCAGTCCACAGCCCGCAGAGTCTCTTTCAGAGTATTTATATTTTTCTTTCCTGTCCAATGTTGTATCCCGGGCAGATGATGTATTTTATTTTGTTCTTCCTAGTTGATGCTCATGCACTTGTGACACCGGATTTTGGGGTGATTATGGGCTGCTCAGTATTGAAATGGCTAAAATATTATTATTTTCTCTGTAATTCCATTTTTTTACTTTTAACTTGAAGGAAATTATGATTCAAAGATACAAAAATGAGAATAAAATTTATTATTTATTGTTGTCTTGTCCGACAGTGGTGTCTGGCGCCATCACGACCTTTAACGAATTTTGGGTCGTGACAATAGAGGTTATCGGGTCGGGGCTGAACGGGTGGGATAAACATGTAGATGTTTAGGTTGTTTAAGATCGTGCCACGTGTCTTACTAAAAGACCCCGTTAATTGTGGGGGACAAAAATATTAAAATGGATAATGGTAGGGGCGAATAGTGAAGGAAAGTATAACGGAGGGTACTAATAGCAGTAAAAGGACAGATCAGGCGCTTTTTCGTAAAATATAAAATAAATTAAAGAAATTTACTTAAGATATTAAATATTTGATGTCTCTGAAAATTTAAAAAAATTCAAACAGCAAAATAAGATCTTAAATAAAATATCTATATTATAAAGGTAATGTGAGAGTATTTAATAACTCTCAAAAATATTATTGATAAATTTAAATAATACCTGAATTTTTGGCAATAAAATCAAAATGAATAAATTAAATTTTTAGGAGCAGTAAAAATCTATATTTTACTTTTTTATATTTAATTTTTTAAGGAAATAGTAATTTTATATATTGGAAATTACTTATTCTATTTTAAATCAAGAAGTTACCAACACGTAATATAACTCCATTCATTCACGTGCTTTTCATAAAAACAATCAAACCAACTATAATCATTTAGTCATAGGTCACTGGTTATAAAGTTATAATCTATATAATATGAAAGGAGAGAGTATTTAAACATTATTAAAAGAAAAATCTATTTGTTGGATTCTATTTGCTTAAATTTTAAAGATATTATTAATTCATATTTTTGTATCTAATATATGGTCAATATTATTCTTCTAAATGGTAAGATATTAGATTATATGATAGAATTCTATAGAAATAACTTTAAAACAGTATTGAGAAAAAGTCACTTGGCACTTTTAGGAGAAAATTTGAAATGATAAATTTAAATTATATATCTATATATCTGTACCTATAATCTATATCTATATCTATATCTAGATTCACTCATTAACTTTTCTTCTATAATTCGCTAGAAACATGGAGGTAACATATTAATTAAAATTTATTAATATAAAGAAAAATATAAATTGTAGAAAGTCGTAGATTGAGATAACTTATGACTATTTATATTTTGAGGTAAACTTAAATATAAAATAAAGTAAATAAATTTAGTTAAGATATTAAAGATTTGATGACTATGAAAATTGAAAAAATTTCAAGTAGCAAAACAAGATCTTAAATAAAATATTTATATTATAGAGGTAATGTGAAAGCATTTTAATAATACCCAAACATATATTGATAAATTTAAGGGAAGGCCTGCCAGGCCGTATGCCCATGGGTGCAGGATTCTTCGAAAAAAGCGCGGTCTGACTCGGATGTCACACCTCCTTTTTTAAACACCCCGCTCGAGAGGGAGTATATAAGGGAATTTTTCCAATTAAAGTGTCGAAATGAGATTATTTAATTTATCAGAGTCGCCACTTGGAATAAATTATGGTGTCCCAAGTTACCGGTTTATTTTAAATCCCAAATCGAGGAAGTTTTATTTTTAAAGAGTCTGCGAACCAGAAATTCTAGATAAGGAATTCTATTAACCCGGGAGAAGGTGTTAGGCATTCCCGAGTTCCGTGGTCCTAGCACGGTTGCTTAGTGATTATTACTTGGCTTAAATTGTTTAACTACTCATTTTTAGGACCTATGTGCAATTATTTTTTTACCGCTTTTAAATCACTTGAATTATGCATAATTAAAGAATTGAGTTACATGTACGTATACTCTTTTCTTTTGGCGCGTCAAAAATCATGTCACGCAAACGTGTCCAAAATTAATAACGCTTTGTTTATTTATTAAGAAAATTTGATTGAAGTTGCGCGAACGCAACCCTCGAGTCTTTTTTAGAGTTAAAATTACAAGTATATACATAATCACAATACTTAATCTAAATCGGGCCTAAAGCAAACTATGATTGTTCAAATTAATAAGAGGTTTGCGAGGGTCATGGAAAATTTAATAATTGCACACCTCGATCTAAAAGAGTTATTACTAATTATACGAGGGCCATGGACTTAGGGATTTTGTTTATCATGGCACACCTCAAACTAATTAAAGGAAAACTAATTAATTAAAGACTAAGAGCATTTGAATTTTACATTTAAGCAAATGTTTAAGCTAAATTGATAATCAGCGGACTTGCATTAGTAAAACTGCTCCAATTACTCAAAGATAGTTTGGGCCAGCAGTAATCACCAACTGAGATGACTGGATCGAAAAGAAAACAGGCCCACATATGACAAAGCATACAATTCTCCTATTCACAAGGGCCTTCAGGCTTGGGCCCAAAATGAGCCCAAATTTAGTGAAAGAATGAACACCCAGCGACATGGATTCAAGATCGAGTCCCTGCGGGGGAAACCAACTTGGGCACCAAAAGCCTTAGGCTCAAAACAGCCCTTCCAGGGTCCACACTCAAATAAATTTGCACGATTTCAGTATTGTAAGCAAGAAGCACATTAGCTAACTGAAGTACAAAATACAGAAAAATTTAAACACCATTCATTTGAACACTAAAATCGCTATTATGATTCCCATACATAGTTATTTGTACAGCAAGTATTCCAAACATCAACTGTCCATGCTTAAATTCAATTCTAAGCTAATTCACAAATAAACATATGAAATTTAACCTCAACTAAATTCTTTCTCAATACCAACAGTAACAGAATCCAGGAAATTAACATACCATCCTCTTAAATGCATAAATCATACTCCAAACTCTCAACAGCATGGATTCATTTTCACAACATATTAATAACAGGGGAAAAACTGAAATAACATGTATAGTATAAGATTTACTACAGAATGCTAAAGAAGTGGAAGAAACAGAAGAAATAAATTCAAATACAACTTGTATTCAATCAGATTTCCACTCGAAATACATGTTGACAATCACTTGTTGTCCATGGTTTGGAAAAATACCTGGAATGCAATAGAAAAACAAGGAGTTAACAGCAGCAGCAGAACCCGCTTTAAAACCCAGCAATACCAAGCAAAAACCAGCTTCCTCAAACCAGTAGAGAACCCAAATGAACACCCATCTTTGAAGACTCAAATACTTTGATCAACTAGGAAGTTTTAAGGCAGAATTGAACCAATTTTGACCAAAGAAATGCAGGAATTTCAGTGTTCTTTCAAAGCTTTTCAAACTCGGCCGTTTTTCAATTTTTAGTATCTTTTCGATTCTCCAAAATCTCTCCAAAATCTGACTTGAGAGTGAAGCAATTACCCTTTTATAGAGAAGTTTTAGGGCAGCAGAAATGAACTTCAGATTTGCCCATTAAACCTTTTCCAATTTTCGTTTTTGCTACTTGGTCCTTAGTTTAAAAATCAGTTTTCTAAGTTAGTCCCAAACCCAACTTCCAGGAAATTTTCTAAGTTGGTTACACCAGATTACCTAACCTAAAATCCCTAAACTAACCCTTAAACCCCTGTTATTTACCCTTGTAACCAGATGGGTCAAGTTGACCAAATAACTTAAACCATACATGAATGGGCTGCCCTTTGAAAATGGGTCAGAAATGAACCCAAGGCCCAAACCAAATCAGAAATCCATTTTAGTAATTCATGAGAAACAGAAGAAGATATGACTTGAATGTTTTCAAAAGCTAACTAAATGACTGATTTTCCTTTTAAAAAAAACCAATGAGCCAGAATTAACTACATCATCAAGTTGAAATAAACCTAATTAGACTAACTAGAAAACTAAAACCAGAAGGGCAAGAATCAGAAATTTAACATAAAAGCTAAGTAGATGAATAAACGAAATCAGTGCACAACTCTTTAAAATTGAAAAGGAAACTGGAAAACAAACGGAATAAATCCGACCACAAACCAATCAAAATGAAAAGCCTAGGTTTGAACCTTTATCAAATTTCAGTCAAAGTAAAAACTAACTAAAGAAAGGGAGAAGAAAAGAAGAGGAATAAGAGGTGAAATAACACAAACGGACAGAAAAATACAAGAAAACTTACCTACAACTTGAAACCGATACTGGACACTCCGATTTAACCCAAAATAATGCTAATCGCTTGTTCTTTGTCAAGAACAAGTGAACATCATTGCTTTGTGTTAAATCAGCCTTGAGAAACTCAGGAAAACTCGGGGATTAGGCCTTGCATGCCACCAATTCGAGGGTATGGTGTTTTGGGCTTTTAGGGTTTCTAACTCAGATTTGATATTCGAAAAGATGTAGGGGGATTCGAGGAATGCTAGTTAGGGACTGGGAAAGAGGAGGCCATGGGGGGGGAGGGGGGTCTTGTGGTGTTAATTTGGGGCCGATTTGAGGCGGCGGCGCCACCGGAGATGGTTGGCGTTTTGTGGCGGCGCTCTAGGGTTCTTGAGGTCTCTGAAGAGGAGATGAAGCAATGAGGTGAATCAGGGGGGGCGAGCCTTTCGGACAATTATATGTAATCAGGTACGCTAGTTCCGGGCCGTTCGATCTAGGGAGATGGACGGCTCAGATTGGAAGAAGAAAACGTGGTCGTTTGACTTAGGCGGGGGTTTGGACCGGGTTAAGGGTATGGTTTGGGCTTGTATCGACCGGGTATTGAGCAAAATCGTTTGGGCCTGGGGGAATTTTAATTGAAAGCCCAAAAATCAGCCTTCTCATTTCATTTTTCCTTATCTTTCAATTTCCACATTCTTTTTCTTTTCAAATTAAAAATAAAAACCTAAATTAATTCTTAAAACTAAATTAAACTACCAAATATATTAATTACTCAACATAGTATTTACAATAACTAATTAAGTCCTAAATTAAAAGAAAAAGCTATGAAATTCAGAATTAAAGAGTTAAATGCAACATGAACTATTTTTGTGATTTTTCATATTTTATAAAATAACTAATTTACTAATTAAACCTAAGATGCAAAATTAAATCCTAAATGCAAATGCAATATATTTTTTTTATTTTTTATGAATTAAATAAAAATTAAACATGCACACAAAAATGCAAATGATCAGAAAGATTCTACAATAATTCCTAAAATAACCAATAATTAAAAGAAAAATCCAATTCTTTGGGATTCTGTAGGAGTAATTCATGTGGGGCAAAAATCACGTGCTCACAACAGCCTCTCTTTGCTCGGAGACACGAAGGATTTTCGGGCAAAGATAAAATGAGCAATTATGAGGGGTTTTTGCCCATTTGAAACTCCATGAGAAGCATTTTTGAAAGAGCCTAACCGAACCTTGCTTCAAAGGTTGCCTACATATCCTTGGCTATAAAGGAATCAGGTCAGTGTAGTTCTGGAAGTTTTCGGTAGCTGGGACTACCAGGAAGCTGTGATTTCACTGTTGTTGTTGCTGCTATTGCTTGCTAAACTCCTTATTACACCAAAATGGAAAATAAAAAGCTAAACTAGCTAAGCCTATCAACTACGAGTTACAAGATTCCTATCTATAAATCTATTGAAGCTTGATCTTGAGTCTTGGTTGGTTCTTGCCGCAGACTCCGATCTGAATCTTGATGCTTGTCAGCTGTAGCTGCTGGTTCATTTTTCAGCTTTTGGATCAAGTCGGGACATGTGAAGCTTGCGACTTCAATCATATCTTAAGTAACCCGCATCTTTCTCCGCTTCTGCACTTTGAGTTCACTTCTTTTTGTTCTTTTTTCTTATTTTCTTTATTTTGGATTGAGACTCATTCTTTTGGTCATCTTGAACCCTGTGCCTCGAGGTCAAACCTGCTCAGACATCAAAACAAACAAACGAACGAAATTTTTCCGCCCCAGTTTTCACTAGGAAAATTTCGTGAGTTATTTGTAACTAAAATCTAAAATATTTATTTATTGAAAGAGATAAAACAAGGATTGTGCGTCTTTAAAAGAAAGAGATTAGGGAATGGAGCCCTGTATCTATAAAAACTCAACCACGGAATGGAGAGCCTGTGTTGGCAAAAGGCGACTAAGGGATGGAGACCCTATGTCTAAAAATCTCAACTGGGGTTGGAGACCCTATGTTGGCAAAAGGCGACTAGGGAATGGAGGCCCTATGTCTAAAATCTCAACTAGGGATTGGAGCCCTACGTTGGCAAAAGGCGACTAGGGAATGGAGGCCCTATGTCTAAAATCTCAACTAGGGATTGGAGCCCTATGTTGGCAAAAGGCGACTAGGGAATGGAGGCCCTATGTCTAAAATCTCAACTAGGGATTGGAGCCCTATGTTGGCAAAAGGAGACTAGGGAATGGAGGCCCTATGTCTAAAATCTCAACTAGGGATTGGAGCCCTATGTTGGCAAAAGGAGACTAGGGAATGGAGGTCCTATGTCTAAAATCTCAACTAGGGCTTGGAGCCCTATGTTGGCAAAAGGCGACTAGGGAATGGAGGCCCTATGTCTAAAATCTCAACTAGGGATTGGAGCCCTATGTTGGCAAAAGGCGACTAGGGAATGAAGGCCCTATGTCTAAAATCTCAATTAGGGATTGGAGCCCTATGTTGGCAAAAGGAGACTAGGGAATGGAGGCCCTATGTCTAAAATCTCAACTAGGGATTGGAGCACTATGTTGGCAAAAGGTGACTAGGGGATGGAGACCCTATGTCTAAAATCTCAACTAGGGGTTGGAGCCCTATGTTGGCAAAAGAGTAAAAGATTGATATTGGGGATCCTATACTACCATTTTTTTTTGAATTTTCTTCTTATCTCCTTTTCATCTTGTTTTTTTTTCTCCATTTTTACTTATTTCATGGAATGAGTAAATGCGGAAAAAACTCGGAGGGGACTTCCCTTTTTATGGATTGTTGCTGCAAAGCTGTTTCTAGCACTTGCGCATTTCTTTTTCCTTTTTTGGTTGCACCTGCTTCTTGAACGATTGCTTTGGATTGCACCTGTCTCAAATTTTCAAACAAAGAACAATTGTTATTTTGAAACGGTGGTTGGTTTTGTGGCCTTGATTGTTTTTGATCACTTAATCTCGGCCCAACTCTTTTGGTGAGAACCTCTGCTGCTTGCTGGCTTTTCTGAAATTGATCTCTTTCCTAAAACCAAGGAACTCAACTTTCCAAACTTTCCAGATGACGGTTCACCCGTATGGGGTTTTCGCCCATTCATTTTATTCTGCTTCTAATGGGCACTTGACTTTGGATTTCTTTCATTTTCAATAACTTTAATTTCAGAGCATCGGCCATCATGGCCAGTCGGGATCGACTTGATGCACCCGCTGAGGCTGGGTACTTTTCTTTGGACTTGGCTTTTATTAAGTAGAACCCCGTAAAACCAATCTTGCCACCTTTTCTTTGTATTAGTTTCGGAACAGAGTCATACCGAAAGGGATTCAAAGAAAAGTAAACAAAAGGTGAGAAGTGAATTTAAATAGAAGCGTCCCTTTCGGGGAGGAAAGAAGGACTTATCTGGAGTGCATGCAGACTTCAATAGACATGACATGCTTCTTGGGCTGGATGCCTGATCCGCACAACTATCCCACTTCTCATAAACCCATTGCGACCCGTGTTTTAAAACCGAGAAACCTTGCCAGGACTCTTTCAGTACCAATGGTGGTGAGGGGTTTCTCCTTTTCAATCAAAGGCGCCCTTTGCGGGTTTTCGCCAATCGACCTCTCTCATTTCTCTTCTCACCGTCGCCTTATAGTGCTCTTTACGAGTTTTCACTAACAAGACTCTCTCATTTTTTAGTTTCTCTGCTCACCATCGCCTTACGGTGCTCGTAGGTTTTCACTGATAAGACTCTCTCATTTTATTTCTCTCATCTTCATTGCATCGGATTCAAACGACCGCGTTCTTTGATTCCGAACACCTTTCACCGATTGATCGGAAGGACTTGAACAAGGATTGGGTAAAAAAGAATTTGGATCAAATTACAACTTTGGAATCATTCAGGCAGGATCATCGCCGAACCATTATAACATCTGCCCCAATTTCACTTTTGGGGGAAATTGGTTTTTTGTTTTGGTGTGACTGAACCTCAGAGAGAGGCTGCCTACGTATCCTTTCGGAATCAAGTCAAACGTAGTTCAGGGAAATATTTTATTTTGTTGTTTTTGTTGTTTTCTTTTTTTTTTGTTTTTTTTACAAACGTCTTCAAGTTCCAAAGAGGGTAATGAAAGAAAGGTAACCGGCTCAAAGGGTTAGCAAAGGATTGGAGTGTTTGGGGTAGCGAGAATGAAAGCCTTCTTCATCCCAATCGGATAATGTCGTTGCTGCAAAAGGATTAGACATAGTACCTTTTGACTGCATCTGCATTTACAGCTGTTTCGGGGTCATTTCCTTCGATGTCTCCCAGGTATAACGCCCCTCTTGGCAACAATTTTCTGATAATGTATGGGCCTTTCCAGTTAGGAGCAAACTTTCCTTTTGCTTCCTGATGATGGGGGAGAATACGCCTTAAAACGAGTTGCCCCACTTCAAAATTCCTAGGCCGCACTTTCTTGTTGTAGGCACGGGCCATTCTTTGTTGATACAACTGCTTGTGGCAAACTGCGGCCATTCGCTTTTCATCGATTAGGGTTAACTGTTCTAGACAGGTTTTGACCCACTCACTGTCTTCAATTTCAGCCTCAACAATGATCCGAAGAGAAGGGATTTCAACTTCTGCGGGTATCACGGCTTCAGTGCCATAAACCAAAAGATATGGGGTTGCTCCGACTGATGTGCGCACAGTAGTGCGGTATCCCAACAATGCAAACGACAACTTTTCATGCCACTGCCTGGAACTTTGAATCATCTTTCTCAAAATCTTTTTGATGTTCTTGTTTGCTACTTCGACGGCACCATTGGCTTTGGGCCGATAAGGAGTAGAATTTCGATGCGTGATCTTAAACTGCTCACATATCTCCCTCATCAAGTGACTATTCAAGTTCGCAGCATTATCTATAATAATAGTTGCAGGGATACCGAAACGGCAGATGAGATTGGAGTGCACGAAGTCTACCACAGCTTTCTTGGACAGATTTGAGAGTAATTGCTTCAACCCACTTTGTGAAGTAGTCGATAGCGACCAATATGAATCTATGCCCATTTGAAGCTTTTGGCTCAATCGGCCCAATGACGACCATGCCCCAAGCAACAAATGGCCAAAGTGCTGACATGGGATGCAGTTCTGTAGGCGGTGCATGAATCAAGTCACCTTGCACCTGACACTGATGACATTTCCGGACGAAACTGAAGCAATCTTTTTCCATAGTCATCCAATAATAGCCTGCTCGAAGGATCTTCTTTGCCAAAACGTACCCATTCATATGGGGCCCGCACACTCCTGCGTGCTCTTCATACATGATTCTTCCGGCCTCCTCGGCATCAACGCATCTTAACAAGTTGAGATCCGGAGTCCTTTTGTATAAGACCTCACCGCTCAAGAAGAAACCTCCAGCGAGCCTTCTAATGGTTCTCTTTTGATCTCCATTGGCTTGTTCCGGATATTCCTTTGTTTTCAGAAACATCTTGATATCATGGTACCATGGTTGTACATTTGCTCCACATCAACTGTGTTGCAATAACCATGCCTTTCTCGGATTTGAATTTCCGGTGGGTCAATGTGGAGATTGCCCGGATACGGCAACATTAAGGCCAAGGTAGTGAGTGCGTCGGCTAACTCATTGTGAAACCGAGGGACGTACCTGAACTCAACGGATTTGAACTGTTTGCTAAGATCTTCCACAGATTGCATGTACGGTATAAGCTTAACATCTCGAGTTTCCCATTCTCCTTGAGCCTGTCGGATAATTAGATCCGAATCTCCCATAATTACCAACTCTTTCACATCTTGATCAATTGCCATATTCATACCCATAATGCAGGCTTCATACTCGGCAATGCTGTTTGTGCAGAATAACCGAAGCCGAGCTGTGGCTGGATAGTGCTGACCAGTGGGCGAGATCAAAATTGCCCCAATCCCGACACCTTTTGCGTTCATCGCTCCATCGAAGAACATTTTCCAAGCATTGGCGTCTTCCGAAATGACCTCAACAGAGCTTACTTCCTCGTCCGGAAAGTAGGTACTCAAAGGCTGATATTCATCATCAACAGGGTTTTCAGTCAGGTGATCTGCTAGGGCTTGAGCTTTCATTGCCGTGCGAGTGACATAGACTATGTCGAACTCAGTGAGCAGGATTTGCCATTTTGCCAACCTTCCCGTGGGCATCGGCTTCTGGAATATGTATTTTAAAGGATCCAACGATAAGTGGTGTAGGCTAGCAAGTAATTCCTCAGCTTCTGAGCAACCCAAGTTAGAGCGCAGCAAGTCCTTTCCAACAGGGTATATTTGGCTTCATAACTTGTGAACTTTTTGCTCAAATAGTAGATCGCCTGCTCTTTTTTCCCGGTCACGTCATGTTGTCCGAGGACACATCCAAAAGAATTCTCCAAGACTGTCAAATACAGAAACAAAGGCCTCCCAAGTTCAGGTGGGACCAAGACTGGCGGGTTCGACAGGTATTCTTTGATTTTGTCAAAGGCTTCTTCACACTCATCCGTCCATTTGACTGCTGCATCTTTCTTTAACAGCTTGAAGATGGGTTCACACGTGGAAGTCAACTGAGCTATGAATCGGCTAATGTAGTTCAACCTTCCCAGTAGGCTCATGACCTCTTTCTTGGTTCTTGGAGGAGGCAAATCCCGAATAGACTTTATCTTTGTTGGGTCTAGTTCGATGCCCCTCCGACTGACTATAAATCCCAAAAGCTTCCCAGATGGGACTCCAAATGCGCATTTAGCCGGGTTTAGCTTCAAATCATACTTGCGCAGACGCTCAAAGAACTTCCTCAGATCTCGAACATGGTCATCTTGTGTTTTGGACTTAATGATCACATCGTCCACATATACCTCGATCTCTTGGTGCATCGTGTCATGAAAGATGGTAGTCATATCTCTCATGTACGTTGCCCCGGCGTTCTTCAAACCAAAAGGCATGACCCTGTAACAATAGGTGCCCCAGGGTGTGGTGAAGGCTGTCTTTTCCGCATCTTCTTCATCCATCAAAACCTGATGATATCCAGCATAACAATCCACAAAAGACTATACCTCATGTTTGGCACAGTTGTCAACGAGGATGTGAATGTTTGGCAGAGGGAAGTTGTCCTTGGGACTTGCTTTGTTCAGATCTCGATAGTCAACGCACACCCGAGTTTTCCCATCTTTCTTTGGTACAGGAACCATATTAGCCAGCCATGTGGTGTATCGGACCACCCGGATCACCCCCGCCTTCAACTGTTTTGTGACCTTTTCTCTAATCTTGTCGCTGATATCAGTTTTGAACTTTCTTTGCTTTTGCTGGACAGGGGGATAATCGGGGTATGTTGGCAACTTGTGAACCACCAAATCGACACTTAGTCCTGGCATGTCATCATATGACCAAGCGAATACATCTTTGAATTCAAACAACAGTTGGATCAACGTGTCCCGGGTTTTTTCATCTGTGTGAATGCTTATCCTGGTTTCTTTGACTTCTTCAGTACTACCCAAATTAACCAGCTCGGTATCATTTAAGTTCGGCTTAGGTTTATTCTCAAATTTTTCCAATTCTCGGTTTATTTCCCTAAAAGTCTCTTCATCATCATATTCCGGTTCTTGATTCATTATTTCACAATTAGACAACGTGTTTGGATCTGGGCATGAAGTCCGCAAGCATGTCATGTTATTGAAATCTGCATTTAACAGAACTGAAAAGAGAATAAGAAAAACAACAAGATTAAGAAAAGAGACATTCCTGGACAATAAAATACTAATTTCATTTGATTTTTGATTTTTTTTATTTGATTTTTTTTTTTGAAGAGAGAAGGGTTTACATCGGAAAGTAAGACAATAGAGTAAAATATCCGGATCACACCCTGAGATAATCCGGACGCAGAAAGGATAGCAAGACTGGCTACCGAGACTCCCATCTGATAGGGAACTTTCACGCTTGGCAACCGTTCTTTTTTCCTTTTTTTTTACTTTTCTTCTGTCTTTGCAATGGCTTCAGTGCCGAGTCAAATTTCTTATCTTCACAAGTCATTCCGACTACTGGCCCATTGGTGTGAGTAGGCAAAGGATTGTTCATCGTGTTAGGAGCCTCTTCGTCCCGAAAAATGATTCTTCCAGCTTCAATCAAATTTTCAACTGCCTTTTTGAGGGTCCAACAGTCCTCTGTATTGTGCCCCACCGCTCCAGAGTGGTATTCACATCTAGCATCAGCTCGGAGCGAGAGGACTCGGGGTTTGGCCGGTTTGGGGCCACTAGCTGCAGGAAAACTCGCCTGACTAGATTTTGGAACAAACCCGAGTATGATTCACCAATAGGGGTGAACTGATTCCCTTTGAAAGGCTCTCTTGGGCGAGGATTGTACTGGGGAACATTTGATTGTGGATTAGATGGAGCTTGGTAAGGATGGTCATTTCTGGGAGGTAGAGCTTGATTTTGTGTATAATATTGTGGCCGCGTGCAAGGTTGCGCATTCATCACCGCATACCAACAAAACCAACCACCTGAACAGAACCTGGCTAATTTGCTCACACCAACAAACTTGTTAGTTTTGAGACATTTAACATATAGAAAATCGCACGTTAGGATGCAATGCACCTAACAGTTAAATGCTTCTACCGTGTTTTTGAACGGTTGCATGTTTCATCCCGGCCTTAACTAACCCTTTTAGTATGTACCTCTTTTCTTTTATTTTTGCCTCTCTTTAATCACTCTTGATTTTTTTTTCATCTCGCTTTTGCCGCTCTTTTATTTTTGCACTCTCTTTTTTTTGTTTGTCACATTTTTTTTCTTGTCGCTCCTTTTATTTATTTACTTTTTCACTCTTTTCTTTTTTTTTTTTCACTCAATTTTTCTCTCTTTTTCTTTCTTTTTTTTTCAGTTTATTTTTCACTCAATTTATTTTATGACTATGATCAAATCCGATGGGGATTGCCTACGCATCATGACCCCGCATGAATCAGATCTTGCGTAGTTCGGGAAGATCGAGAATAGAGTAAATAAACTAACTCTTTTTTTTTTCTTTTACTTTTTATAAAACTCACACCATGAAAGCTTTAAGAAAAAGAAAAACATTCTTTTTTGATGATTTCTTTTCTCTTTTTTTTTTGACAATTTTTTTTTTAAATTTCTTTTGGAATTTTCTAAAAAAATGCTTTCAAAGAAGAAAGGAAATATTTTTTTTTTTGGTTTTTGATTTTGATTTTTCTTTTATTTTTTGAAAGAATGAATCTTAAAATTCCTTTCTTTTGATTGGAACTAAAAGGAAGATATTTTTTTTTAAATTTTTATTTGTTTTCTCTTTTTCTAAAGAAGAAAGAAAATATTTTTGGATTTTGGATGTTGCCTCTTAATTTTCGAAAGAGGGACTTTTAAGAAAATATTTTGAATTCTGAGCTTTTTATTTATTTACAAAAGTACTTCTAAAGAAAAGCAAAAAAAAAATTTTTTTTTTTTACATTTACGAAAGAAATACTTTTAAAGAAGAAAAAATATTCCTTTTTTTATTCTTTTTTTTTTTGGTTTTTTTTTAATTTTTGAAAAAACACTTCAAAATAAAGAAAACCCGTATTTCGAATTTTCATTCTTTTTTATTTTTCTTTTTATTTCTTTTTTCCATATGAAAGACTTCAGCAAGAAGCAAACTACTTATTTTCTTGAGTTTAAGAACTTCTTCTTCTTCTTCTCTTTTTTGAATTTTCTAAGGAAAGATTTCCAAAGAAAGAACTGAAAGAAAATATTTTTGGATTTTTTGAAAATTGGGGTCGGAACTGATGAGGTTTGCCTACGTATCTCACATCCGGTGAGAATCATACTCGCATAGTTCGGTTAGTTTTGACATAAAAACATGATATTTGACTCACTCTTTTGAAATACATTTTTCTTTTTCCATTTTTTTTTCAAAAATTTGGCAGAGTTTCGGGACATTTTCAAATACCGGGATTTTTAGAAACCGAGTAAATTTTCTATCCTACCTCACTCTTGGTTTTTCTCTTTATTTTATTTTCCTAACCGGTCAACATGCAAGCCGAAACAAATAAATATTCACATAGCACGTAGGATGCATCAGGATGGTCTTTATTTTGGGTACACCTGTCCTAGACGGACCCAACCCCTGTGTTGAGTCCCCAAGGTCAAATGCACATGATGCAAATAATCGTTCCTACTAGGGATCCGGCATGAGGTTGTGTTATTCTAGGTTTAAAACCTGGGGTTTGTGTTCTAGAACTTGGGTTACCCGAGCGGACAACTGGGGTCGAGGAGGGGGCAACGTACCTGGAGCACAAAAGTCTGCCCGGCCTTGTTGCTTGCCCAGCCCCGTCTTATTTGGTATAAATCTAACAGAAAAGTGGGCCACGCGAACGTGAGCGCCGTTTTTTTTTCAGAAGACTCAAAAGGGAGGCGTGAGAAGGCATTTAGATACAGTTCAAATAATATCAAAGCGGTAAGTAAATGGCAATTAGCACATTGAGTCTATAAAATACAGTAATATCAACAAATAAAGCCAAATAATCACACTAACAAGCTCGAATTCTTAAACCCTGAACCGGAAGTTCGGGGTTCTTTTCCCCACCAGAGTCGCCAGAGCTGTCACACCTCCTTTTTTTACACACCCCGCCCGAGAGGGAGTATATAAGGGAGTTTTTCCAATTAAAGTGACATTATTCAAAATGGGATTATTTAATTTATCAGAGTTGCCACTTGGAATCAATTATGGTGTCCCAAGTCACAGGTTTATTTTAAATCCCAAATCGAGGAAGTTTTATTTTTAAAGAGTCTGCGAACCAGAAATTCTAGATAAGGAATTCCGGTAACCCGGGA